GTGAAGTCCATACTGTCTACCGAAGTGGCTGCGTCTGCGTTAACAACACAATACACTCTTTTTATCAACCCCAATTCTTCACAGGCTTTGTCACCCAGTATTGACTCACATCGCTGATTCACAACAGAGAAGAGTAGATGATACACCTTCCCTTTAACTGTGACCTTTAGCTTGCTGGTGCCTAAACACTCAATAGGTTGTCCATTGTAATCTTTTAGCTCTGAGCGCTTCTTATTTATTTTTGGCTTTGTTTTCATTTCTCTTATATCCGATATGCTTATGAGATTTGCTTTTGCGCCTGTGTCTAGTCTCATAGTAATAATAGAACCATTAATCAGCAGTGGAGCTATCCTTTTGTCCTCTCTGTTTACATGGTTCACTTTTCCTGGCTCTTCCTCACAGTCCACGAGGCCAACAAAGAAAGTGTCATTTAGATCTGTCTCCTCCACCACATTAACAAATTTGCCTTTCTTTCCGTTCTTCCTACCAGAGAAGCATTGTTTGGCAAAGTGGTTCTTTCCATGGCATTGAGAACAGATCTTACCAAACGCCGGGCACTGTCTGGGTTTGTGCTGTGACCCACAACGCTTACAGCTGAACGATGCTCCCTCGGTTTGCTGTGCACGTCGCGTTTGATTGCGATGGTCCCTTTCGCACAACACCACTCCTACTTCTGCCGCTGCTCCGTCACATGTGGGCGCTGACATAGGGGGCACCATATTACTGAAAGTCCTCATGTGCTTATGTGACAATTCGCTCGCCTGGCATATCTTAATGGCTGCTTCCAGTGTCAGGTCCATCTCCCTAAGCAGTCTTTCTCTTAAGGTTTTGTCCTCCACGCCGAACACTATTTGGTCTCTGATCATGGAGTCTTTGAGAGTGCCGAAGTTACAGGACTGCGCCTTCAAGCGCAGCGCCGTCACAAAACTATCATACGGCTCTTGTCGCTGCACCCGCGACCTGAACATGAACCTCTCATATGTCTCGTTCTTCTTCGGAGTACAATGTGCGTCAAATTTAACAAGCACGATGTCAAGGTTTTCTTTATCCTCTGGCGCGTCAAACACGAAAGTGTTGAAGACTTCAATGGCCTGTGGTCCTGCTACAGTTAGCAAAAGTGCTACCTTCCTTGTGTCTGTCTTCGTATCCAGTCCCATAGCTGTGACGATGAAACTAACCACACAGCCATGTCAACCTTAAATTTATGAGGCTTTTAGATAAGGGCGCTCGTAGTCCAAACCCAGTTCCCACGGGCTGTTTGATGAAACTGTCTATTTGAGAAGCCAAGCCCTGAGGTCAGATGCAAGGCAACAGACGGACAGCTAAACTGCAGAAAGCATTCAAACAGCACACACATATACACATCTAGCATTCCCTGCAGGCTGACTAAGTGGTCTTTCTTCCTCTCTGGGGACTCTCTGTCCCTGCTGCTTCACCCCTTTGGCATGTAACCCATACCACCCCTCACCCCTACATGTGTGCATGTGTGCACACACTTCTGTGCAAGTATTTATTTTACACAATTGATTCATATGATTATTAATTTCAATGTCATTTTTATTTATTATTATTATTGAACACTAGGTTTCCATAAAAGGCTTTAAATCTGAACTGTTTTCACCTGTAAACCATCACCAAGTGTTTAGCTACTTCCATATTGATACAAACCCTTGCTATGAGCTACCCATAATGGCTATAAGTAAGCAGCTACAGTAGTTTTCCATTCAGCAAACAGCAAATGTACCACTGAACATTTTCACAGTATAAAGTCTTTCTCTGGCAGCCAGACAGACATTAGGTCAAACTTTGGTTCAGTTTCTTGTCTCTTTGAAGTGCCGTACAGTTAGTGAACCTCTCTCTCTCTGCCCACTCTATCACTGGATATACTGTAGTCCCTAGGGGGTTGCAGTATATTCTGAGTGTTATGCTTGAAAAGAAAGAAGCATAACTCAGTCTCGGCACTGTTAACCTTTTAGAGATGCGCAGCAACAACAAATAAAACAGATACTGGATTAGAACTGTTTACATCAAGTAAGGCTTAAGTGTTGACGGTTATTGCAGTCCCACAGACAAGCACACAGGGCTTGAACCCCAAGCTTAGAGTAACAGATGAGCACTTGCATACAACCAGAATGCACTTGCAACCTGCCAGCCCGTCTTTCATTTATGTAACTGTGAATGTAAAACTATTTATTTGCACCAACAATTACATTTTACAGTACCAGAGCAATGTAAAACAATCAACTTAAAAAACAGCATGACAAGATCATATTACATATTTTTATTGAAGAATAATGTAATCATATATACACTCAGGGAAAAAATTATTTGAACCCCAGCTGATTTTGTAAGTTTGCCCACTAACAAAGAAATGATCAGTCTACAGTTTATCTGAACAGTGAGAGACACAACAATAACAAAAAAATCCAGAAAAATGCATTACAAAAAAAGTTATAAAATAATTTGCATTTTCATGAATGAAATAAGTATTTGATCCCATTGCAAAACGTGCTTTTGTACTTGGTGGCAAAACCTTTGTTGGCAATCACAGAGGTCAGACGTTTCTTGTAGTTGGCCACAAGGTTTGCACACATCTCAGGGGGGATTTTGACCCACTCCTCTTTGCAGATCCTCTCCAAGTCATTAATGTTTTGTGGCTGATGTTTGGCAACTCAAACCTTCAGCTCCCTCCACAGATTTTCTATGGGATTAAGGTCTGGAGACTGACTAGGCCCCCCCATGACCCTACTACCATTGAAATTGTAGATTGATACGGGATCAAATAATTATTTCACTTGGGGCCCAAATAATTTTTTCCCTGAGTGTAGATCACAATAAAACAGAACTCTTTTTAGGATCTGTTTGATCAGGTAGTTTATTCAGCACACAATAGACAGCTCAGCATTAAAAACATCAATCACAGTTTTACAATTAGGCCATACTGTTGTGAGAACAGTGGTGTGAGTGTTACAGTATTTTGCATTAATAGTAACAAGCAGTCACTCAGAAATGGTGAAAACTGTCAATGATCAACCCACACAAGCTGATTAGACCTGTCCTCAGACCCACAGCAGTCACCTTCAGCCTACGACAGGATCTAATCAACTACTGTTAAGTAGGTTAAAACAAACCATAAAACACAACTCCAACTATAGTGCAACCCTTGCCTGCATTGCCCACCATAAAACATTACGTACATTGTTGTGTTTGGTGCCACAGGTGTATTTTTATTTAATAAAAAGGCTCTTCCTTCATGCACATGCAATGTGACACCACTTGAAGTAACAACCAACTCTTCCATTTATTATTTGAAGTGATCGGCTGATAGTGGTCTATAATTTAACATTCTAAATACAAGATCTATGATGTTTATGTACAATACTGCTTGACCTATCATTACAATACAACAATATTAATTTGAATAGAAATGAACTAATAGTATTAATTAATCATAACAAAGCATGGAATATAGTAGATTAAGCAAAGACTTGTTACTTGAAGCAATACATTGGAATAAAGTGAATGTAGTTTAAAGCTAACTTTAGTTTATTTGCTAACAATTTACATAGTGCGCTTCATTCATAGATTAACTGCTGAAACAGTTTTAGCATGTGGGCTCCACCCTGATGAAAGAAAGCAGCTGCAGCAATAAGAGACTAAAGAAACTTGCTGCTTCACTGGACCCAGAAGCATTGTCTGATACTGCATTTGATTTATCATTGGGAGCTGATGGAGCCAAAAGCACTATCACTGAACACAGCAATACTCCAGCTCCCTCTGAAAACAATCTTTAAACGTTCCTATCAAAGTAAATCATAAATCAGACGCAAAGAAGTCAAATAAATCTGATTACAATCAAGCTACCAGCGCTGCCTTTATTTCACACTGTAGGAGAATGCAGTCCTGTCAGGAAGGACTACAATATCTTGAAAAAAATAATGAAAAATGACACAAACCAAAGAAAGACAGTCTCAATCACGCCCCACATGAGAGGGGTTAGAAAAGGGGGTGGCAGAGGAGCGGAGGGGAGGAACTTCATCTCGTGTCCAGGCTGATGACTGAAAATGAGGAGGCCCTCATTTGCGAACAGCCGCCCAGATTATAAGTCCTATTACAACACCAACTACGGCCAACAGTATCACCAGGACGCAAATTTTCTTTCGAGAACTCCGCTGAGGGGAGAAAAAAAACAAATCACAAACTGGTTGTCTAGCAGCAAATAAATACAAGATATCACTTAAACTTTAATGAATAGAGGGACTGTTTGACTCAGGCTTGTGAATATTGACTCACAGCCAAAACAAGGATCAAATCACCATGTGATTCAGCTTTTATTTTCATCCTTGTGCCTCTTTCTGAAAATGCTATTTAAGTAAGAAAGCTAATAACTTGGTGAAACAAAGACGCATTGTAATGACACTCCTCCCCCTTGTTACTTTGTTTTAATCGCTTCCTTTTGTTTTTACACACATCTGTTAATTCTCTTCTCTGTCCCCTATGGTTTACCTGGTATTCCGCAGCCCGTGCTAGCTGCTGTGTGGCACTCTGGACATTTGTGTCTGCATTCTCCACATTAGCTTCTATACTGTCTGTATAACACAGAAAACACACACACAGTTTTACATGTAGCAGGTGAGCAGAAGAGAGAGCACCCATTTTACAACTCTGCATGCTCCTATTTGTCCAGTCTTAACCAGAGCGAGCACACAGGATCTTATAGTATATAATGCCTAAACCCGACCCGAGCCCAACACAGTTGAGTTTGTATGGTGCGTTTCCCCTTATCACTAAACGAAGCGGACATTTGAGGGCTCCAGCCGTCTACCCTAAAGTGTGACCTATGTTACTGAACCCAACAAGGCCGGAACCTTCAAGTACTGATGGGTCCCGTTGGGCTCAGTAAGGGTATCCACCTTCTAGTGTAATCACGGATGCAAAGTTTTTAACAGTGCATTTTAGTTTGTTTTACGAGATGCTGTGTCCAGGAGGAGAAAAGATATATTTATACATCAGAAACATACTTTTCAAATTCCATAAATAAACATTTCTAGCAACTTAAAATTAGCCCAGCCCTACATTATTAGACAGGTTCCAAAGAAAGGCAGAGTGAAGGCCAGACTGTTGACAAAGGAGCAATAGACAGGTAATAAACAATATGTGTCCATTGGACTGCTGACAAAGGAGCAACAGACAGGTAATAAACAATATGTGTCCATGACTGATACTCACCTATCATATCTCCCTGCTCATGTACCATCACCCCCAGGTCCTTGAAGATGTCATTGATATCTGTGATGTCAGACTACAAGAAGGAACATAAAGAGAAAATGTAAATGTATGTGGCAAAGGGCACTTGAGGTGTCACCGACATACATGACTTCCTGGGTATCCAGCTACAGGATTATGCAGCAGTGCTAGTGCAGGCATTTGATTCTTCTTTTTACCTCCAGCTGTCTGATGGCTGACTCTCTCTCCTCGATCAGCCTAAGGTCGTCTTCAGTGATGGCCTCAGTCTGATCCTGCAGCTGGGAATCACTGCAGGAACAAATGCAGATGCAATTAGAAACATTAAAATCATAATCACTATAATTATGATAATAGAAAGGATAATACTATTCAGTAGACTGACCCTGAAAAGGGAGACACATTCGCAAAGCTGTCCTCAGACTGGCTGACCTGTTAAAGAAAATTCAGCGGTTTGAATACACAGACTTTTGGATTTAATGATACAAATAAGCAGCAGAAGAGATTATTTACTGTGATTATGGGTAATGATTCATTAGGTACAGGGTGATATACAGTAGTACTTGTGCCTATGACCGGAATGCCTCATTAAACATCATCTGATTCAGTATCTGCTGTACAGTCTGTTGCCAGAAACATATGCATAGTGACACAGAGCAAATAGAACCCGCAGCTTTTTTCTCCCAGCCAAGATGCAGTAGGTTCCTTACTAGGGGTGGCACGATACCACTTTTCCATGTCCGATACCGATACCGATACCCCAATTTTGAGTATCTGCCGATACCGATCCAAAATGATATTTTTCCCCTCTGTTAAACAATTGCTTAGTAACACATTTGTCAAATATTCTACTCTCCTAAAGGAAGAAATACATCGCCCACAACCATGAGTTGTGCAACACTGCTGCTTAATTTTTATTTCAATTCTTCAAACAGAGAACTTTTAGCAGCACTTTTGACTAGTCAGCACAATTCAAACATTCAAGTAAAATTTTAGGTGCACCTTTGTGTAAACGTTTGTTATTCTCTAAATACTTAGGTTTGAAAGAATAATAATTCCAGCATCAAACACTGGATATAACCATAACTTAAATAACAATAACTTAACATTAAATGTAATAGAATCTCCATAATTGGACAGTAAAACACAGTAACCTAGTCTGGTATTGAACTGTAAGACCAGTACGAACATTTGAAACATCAAGTAAAATATTTGAATATTTATTCAAGTTTTTCAGTACCTGCCTGGCCATGAAAACTGTCACAAAAACCAGTGCCTCATGTTTTCACTGTCCTTGTTTAACTTAAGTGTGTAACTTCACTTTAACATGAGGGGCAAATTCTTTTTTAGAAAGATTAGCATTTCAGCCTTCTCAGCTGTCAGGCTGCTCCTCCGTTCATCAATAATAATGGAGGCAGAGCTGAAAAGTCTTTCACTCTCCACACTTGTTGAAGGTGCACAGAGAAATCTAGCGACCATAACTGCCAGGTTGGGCAGCCTAGGTTGGTTGACTTTCCAGTACAGCAGTGGATCGTCTGAACGCTGAATAGTTGGCTCAGTGAGGTAGGTTTGGATTTCAGCGTGAGCATTAGTGTTGGTCAACTGAGAAGCAGGTTCTATCTCGCTTTACAACACGTCGCTCATGTCTCGTAAAGCAGTCATATGATAGTTTAAAACAAATTCTCCGTAGTGTATCGGATCGGATTATATGCCCCTCTCTTTGCAATATCCGATCCACAGATTTTGGCCAATATCGGACTAATATCGATACTTAATATCGGATCGGCTCACCCCTATTCCTTACTAACCATTTAAAGCAGTAAGAACCTGTTCCTGCTTATCAGTATGAACAGAGCAGATACAGACACTTTTCTGTGCAGTGAAATAAGCGGTGAGGGAACAGAGTTGCCAAGCAGGCAGGCTCTCCTGAGGGAGGAAGTGATTAAAACAGCCGGAATTAAAAGTGCACTATCAGAAGTGGGAGGTTTTTGTGAAACTTTGCCTCTAAATTCTCAGTTATGCCAAACCATCTGATGCATTTCCTTTTGTATGCACCTGGACTCAGCTGAGACTGGATGTGCACTATCCCACCCTCTGTACTATGGTCTGACCTTTCACCATTTATCTGTGTTTAAGATGTTTCATTAGTGTAGTGATGTTTATTTTAATGTTTTTATAAACTCAGCTTTGGTGGCTATGTCTGCACATTAGGCTGTCTTAACCGCTGATATTAACAGCTTCTTCTTTAAGTCTGCTTACTTATATAAAGCCACAATATCTTTATTGAGTTAAGCGGAAAAGTCACTTTTGACTGACAAAAAATAAAGCAAAATAAAAAATAAAAAGTTGACTAAAGATTACTCACTATAGATAATTGGTAACCAACTAATCAGTGATTTAATCACTGTCTACACTGTTGGCCTTGTGACCTTGCAGGGCCAGCAGGTTACTCACCGACACCCTGGAGCTGGCTCTGACCTTAGCCACAAACTCTCTCTCTTTGTCGGCTGCCTGTCGCTGGATCTTTTGGAAGCTGTTTAGGGCGGCGGAGAAGTCATTCAGCAGGCGATCTTTCTGTAATTTTCTCTGCCGCTGAACGACACACAGAACAGATATTACCAGAGAACCACAAAAGTTAACTGCTTCATTTAATTAGTCTACTATAGTGCCATATCTATATTATCAACCAGGGAAATTATGATTTTAACTAGGGCAGTTAACTTTTGTAGGAGTTCAGTACCTGATCAGGGCCAACAGGAAGTGCACTGAATGCCTTGATCAGCCGGTCAGTCTCCTTCGCAAGATGGTTGCCTTGCTGCTGTTTCTGTTGTCTGGTGATGAAACAATTACATCATGCAGGAAAAATCTTTCATTTCATCATAGAAAGACTGGATAGACTTTACTGTAAGAGAGTTTACCGTGGAGACACGAGCAGATTATGAAACAATGGGCCACCGGGCACAGACATACAACAGGCTCCTACACTTCTAGGAGCAAGACTCAAAAACTGAGCAACCCTGTGATTTGCACTCAGTTTGTGTCTTCTTCTCATTGTTTTGTGCCCATTTTTAGATGTTCCATGTCTCTTTTGATCATTTAGCATATTTTTGTAGCTGTTTTTGGAGTCATTTGTCTCTTTTTATTCATATTATGCCTCTCTTAATGGTAAATGTTTTGCATCTTTGTTTGTGGCTTTTTGAAATAGTTTTGTAGTCATTTTATTGACTTTCCCCAAAAAAAAAAGTCCCTTCACAGTCCTCTGACCCAGGGGTCCCCTGACCTCCTGGGCCCGGGTCTAGTAGGCCCGTTGACTAAGTAACACTGGATTCTTTTTTCAGTAGCATTCTTATCAGGTTCCTTCAGCAACATATATTCCACCTACATTTGTACCATTTATCATAACACACCATTTGTGCAAACCCACAACTCGGCCCCTAACACTCACAGTGTCTGTCGCAGGTGGCTGCTGTCCTGCTCCGTTCCCAGCAGAGACACTGTCCTCTGCAGCTCAGAGGCTGGGGAGGAAGAAAGAATGCAGACACTGTTAACCCGTACTGAAGTATCTCCATGTGACTACCGCAGTTCACATACTGGAGTCAGTGAAGTGGGTGTAATCTGAATGTTGATGATAATGGCTTCTTCTATGTGTGCAGTGTGTGTACAGTATTACTCAGCAGCGTAAGCTTCTGGATGTTGGAGCTGATGTTATGAACCAAAGCATTGGGTTCCCCTGGAATCCCAGCCTGGTAGGCCATGATGAACAGCTGTAAAGATGCACAACAAACACAGCCTGTCACTTCAGTTGTAAAGTGGCACACTGAGACGTCATTACCATACCAATCACAGCTATTTCAGCGTTTTAGTGACTGACGTGAAAATACCTTGGGCACCTCGCATAAATCCATCTGGTTAGTTGACCTGAACAGTTTTTCCTACTGCTTATATGGAGACAATTTACAGACAAGTTAACTGCTTATATGGAGACAATTTACAGACACAAATGCTAAACCTATGCATTACTGTTGAACATCTCATTCTCAAAAGCATAGGCATTAATATGCTAGTTGTTGTTCCAGTTCATCCCATTCTTTATACACATCTAAAAACTATTGTCTAAAACAGTGATTCCCAACCGAGGATACTTGTAGCACCAGGAGCTTTGCCGTTGTACATGAAAAGATAGGGGACAGTAAACAGTTGAAATGAAAAGTACCGGTCAAAAATTTGAAATATTACTTACAATTAGTGTAAAAACTCTCAAAATAATTTGATAAAAGCAATACATTAGGTAGGGAAAAGGGGGTGGTCCAAACCATTAACACATACATCTGGCCATGTAACTGAAAGGTTAACCACTAAAGGTCAGTCAGACACAATGAAACAAGCAACACGGGCATTTATAATAGGTGGTGGAACAATTTTGATGAAATTGCTCTCATTTATAAAATACAGCCTGAAATTGAACATGGGGTGGATCAGGAATGTGGAGTCACGCAAACTTCCTGTGCTATTGACTCAAGAGGACTGAGACTATATGGCCACTATGCAAATAACCATTCGCTGAGAAATTCTCAAACCCAAGCCTCTTACAGGAGCGTAGAATACCGATCATTTCTATTTAAGATAAACTTGTAAACTGAATCCTGCTCCCCCTCTTTAACTAGTTGCGTCCTCCCTGTCTGCGCGCACCGTAGCGTCTGTTTACAGCCCCGCAAAAACCCACGCAACGCGGAAATCACGGGAGTTCACACACTGTGACAAGAGGGGCGCAGAAACGACGGGCAGACTTGTGTCCGTCGGGGTTAAAGCTGATGTATGTGACATTTATCCCACGTTTTACTCGAACGCACAGAAGTCCTTAATATTACGACCACAGCCGCTGAAACAATGTGAAGAATTTTCTCTGTTGTTTCCCGAAGAACAAATAATTTCTTTAACTTCATTTCTAACTAAACTGGACGCATGTTTATCGTGCTAACGTGTAGCTAAATACTCTGAATCATTCCTTAAAATGCAGCTTTGTGTAAAAGTTTAGTTTTACCTTTGTTGTGACTCGAGCTGTGGTTTGTTTCCTGGTTTTTCTACCACTCCCCGTCACATGATGCCAGAAGCACCGCAGGAAGGAGTCATTGGTAGAAGTAATAGGACATGGAAACGATCATATGAGTCATGAGAAATAGGTGAAAAGCAAATATTTATGGCTAGAAGTGTAAGTATGTGCTCCTATATGTTTAAAAACGAACAAAAATGTGTTTATCTAATCGATGTTTTGCATCATTATGTTCAATCACGTGAATGTGGGCCCTATACTTCCCTTTTTATGCTCTTGTCAAATGTCTTTATATTCCTGCTTATAAAATAACGGTCTCAGGACATCAGTGGTTCAATTTCACAAAGAATACAGGTCACACTATGAAAGTTCTTTTTAACACAATGTTTTGTCCAGAGTCCGGTCTCCTGATGCATCCCTACAGAAAGATCCTCAGCATTTCTCACTAAATGTCCAGTTACAGGTACATTTAAGAAGTGGAACACCACAAACTTGGGTTAAAATAAGTTCTGTAGTGGTTAATTTCATAATGCTGTTCACCTCCCTCCATCCAAGAAATGTCTCTGAAGGAAAAACTGTGGAATTTAAATAAGATGTGTTTAGAAACGACACATCTGGATTACTGCAAATTATTCTGTACATGTACTTGAATATTTCCACTGAATGTTTTACACTTCTACTCCTCTACAATTCAGAGGGAAGTATTATATGTTTTCCTCTCCTACATTTAGTTGAATGTACTGTGGATTTCACATTCCCAATAAAACACATTCATATTAAGCAGCAACATTAAATGTGATGTGCACAATAATAAATCAGTAAATATAATAAAATAATATGATATAAAAATATGTGAAATGTGCCATTCTGCATAATGAATACTTTTACCTTTAGTAATTTAAGTATGTCTTGATGCTAGTACTTTTGTATTTTTACTTAAGTAGCATTTTGAGTGCAGGACTTTGACTTGTAACAATGTTTTTTACACTGTTATATTGCTACTTTTACTTAAGTAAAGCATCTGAGTACTTCTTCTACCACTGCATACAGACATTAAATTACAGCACATGTTGGAAAAAGTAACAGAGACATGTTGAACGTGAGTGCTCCAATATGTGTCATTTAGGTAACATATCTATGATTGTACTGGACATCAGGACACGGTGTTTGCACATCCAGGTTCAGACAGGGTAACCACACAACTACTATAACAGATTCCAGCTGCCCCTGATCCAGTCATTCGATTACATCTATTCGGTAGTTTGCAGATCCAAAAACCTCACGGACTCATAACTGGGCTGTGCCTTCAGTTGGGGACTGGTGAAAGAAAATTAAAATCAAACTGTATACAAAAACAAAACCATGCAGGCAGTAAGAGGACTGGTGTACATCAGCTTGTAGATACAGTATATACATTGTCTCAATCGATTGGCCTTCTGTTTTCTAACTGATAAAACTCACATGGAGCACATGTGACTGTGAGTAAGTGCTCACCCTGCCCTGGGTTTTCAGGTACACACTGAGGGTCATATCGTGTGAAATCTTGATCTATTGAACTCTGGGGACCTAAAGCTCTGCTCAGATGATTACAGGTGGCTTCACCTCTATTGACTGACAGGCTATAGCCCTTATCCTCTTATTAGTCTGTATGCAGAACAGTTCACAAAGTTTTTGAGACTTTGTGCTGTAGAGGTTCAAGTGACTTAATCAGTTCAAAAGATTATTCAATCCGATTTAACTTAATATCACCATGAACAGCATCATAGACTCACCTGTTTCTTGAGTTCAAACTACATAGAGTTCTCTGGTTCTGTGTGTAGATGATGTTTATGTGATAGACTGAATTTCTGTCCTGTATGTATGCACATTCTCTTATCTATCTGTCACTGAGGGTCCACTGAAGTGCTCATCACGTGGGCTCAGTGCATTTTTGTGTACACTGCAGGTTACATAAGCCTCGTTTTAGTGGGACAGCTCATTCCAGAGTTACAACACTCTTGACTCCATTCTTCTCCCAGTTCCTCAGTCATGCTGCATCCGACAGTCCTTGGATGCCTCCTCCTGGCAGGTACAGTGTCTCTAGGCAGCACTGCTGAAATTCTAGAAAATGGATTACCTATCCTGTGGGCGCAAACGGCCAGCCAAGTAAGTGACCTGCCGATACAGAATGGCATCCTGACTCCCAACCCCTGGAACTTTCTGCACCGCATGAGTCTCTACCGGCTAGTGATAGTTGCTACAGACCCTTTTAAGGGATCTCTGGGGACAAATACCACAGACAGTCCTCTGTGGGGACTGGCACTGCAGCTTGGATGGATGCTAACTTCAGGTAAGATGAAAATTATTATCTTTTTACATCATTAAAATACAATAATACTTTCATACATGGTCAAGAAAGAAAAAGGACTTCACTTTGGCATTTCTAAAATGACAGACTGTGCAAAAATGGACAGGAAGTACCAATGACCTTTCCCCCGCTGAATGAATAAATAGCTAGTTTGCACTGCCTCTAGCAGTATTTCTGAACATGCTTAACCTTTGTAGCCCCAAAATAAGTAAGCAAGTATCATAACATCTTCAGCTACCAAAGAGTTTGGACACAAATCAATGACATTATGTGTCTTGTTTCGGTAGGGCGTCTTGCTGACCCAACCGGTGCTACAACCTGCGGCCTGCAAACAGGAGATACTAGTTGCATTTCTACTCAGAGCTGGTGGGGCTGTAAGTATGACGAACACAAACCTCCTCAGAGGACATTACATTGACTCTTTACCCTAAAATGTAATGATTAATGCTATAGGGACTTTCTTTTTCTGTTCAAAAGAAAGGCATGTCCTCACAATGTAAACAGATTTATATTCCCACAACATACAGTATTGTACAAGTACACACACAGAGGACACATGCTACGCCTTCATTTCTCTCTAGGTATCAACTACTTTGTCTCTGCACTGCCATTCTTATCTGGGGCACAGCAGGGCTTCATGGGACCAGAGGTTCAGGTACGTGCATCAGAGTGAGACAGTTAAAACAGAGTAAAAGCTGCATTTATGCAACATTTTTGCCTGCTACTGTGTCTTCACATAGCTTTGAATAGTTCTGGCTTCAATGATGATGAAGAGAATTCTAACAATGACTGTTATACTGTATTATTAGGTCCAGATGCAAGTGCCTGCAGATGCAGAGGACCTTTGCACCACCTATGCAAACTGTACAGCTCTTTACCCTGACGCCATGTCTAAGTGGAATGCCTTTTTTCAGGTATTTGACATAAACACACATACACATGCACACTCGTACTTCTATCTTTTTAAGGACACCCGCACTCAGCCTTAACCATCCGAACTAAATTAGACTAAAGCTAAATTTACTCCTTAATGTTCTGTGTGTCTTTAAAGGGTCTGAAGGCTGCAATGGAGTCTCCTCTGCCTGACAATGAGAAGAAAGACTATCTCCTGGGTCTGTACTGGACAGCTCAAATGGCTTCAATTTATGCCTCTGCAGCATGTAACGCCAGGTAATCTATCTATCTATCTATACATACAACAGGTTGAGGTTATGTGCTGGACTACTGTGTGGCAAGTCGCAGTCACTACAGTCTCCCCTGGTTGGTTGGCAACCTCACAGTGATGACAAGAGTCCAGGACAGAGCCAGACTAACTGGCTGTATTCAGTATACAAACATGTCATCGAACCCTCAGCAAGAAAGTGAACAAACCTGTTTCCAAAACTGTCAAAATATTTTTAAACCTCTGCCATCTCAGCCTCTTCTTCTGTCCTCCCCTCTCCTTCAGGCAGAGCCACTACTCTTCTGCAGAGGTGTCATTTGCTAACAACTGGCTGCACTCAGCAGAGTATGTATCAGCAGTACGTTTCCATTCCAGTTTGGAAAAATCTGTGCTGTTCTTATCCCCCCTGCCGAGTCGAGTTTTACAGGTACATACATATAACCAGCCATTCATTTAAAAAAATCACATTTTTACAACCTATATATATACAGAATTAAGGTTTTTCCTTTCTGTTTTATTTGTATGTCTAGGATGCACCTAATACTGCTGATCTGAGTCAGGAGGAGACCCACACACTGTATATCTTCTCCTGGATGAACAGCATCGATACTCTACTGGGTAGGGCAGACACACACCCACAAATATTATGATGGCTTTTTTAAATTAGTAAGCTTTTAGGGATGAGCAGGATCATGTCATCTACCAGGTGGGACGCTGATACGTGCTTGGAGAAGTGCCATGTGTTCGGTGGACGCAAGAGAGAAAGGCAGAGAGATGTTGGAGCAGCTAGTACTGAATCCCAGCTTCCCCACAAGTACTGTCTTTTCCCTCATTACTATGACCTGCTGAGACAACGCATGCACAAACAGCAAGAGAGAGAGAGAGAGAGAGAGAGAGATAACAATTCTAATGGTATTCATGTTCTCATCTGAAAGTTAAAGTGAATAAAAGAGAATTGTGTAACTCAGAGGGAGATTTTAACTTCTGTAATGAATCTGATTTTAACAAATACAATTTATGAAATATATTTTTCATAATTATAAAAAAAGCCTTTCTGTGTGGAGTTTGCATGTTCTCTCTGTGCCTACGTGGGTTCTCTCCAGGTACTCTGGCTTCCTCCTCCAGTCCAAAGACATGCAGCTTCGGTTTATTGGAGACTCTAAATTGCCCATAGGAGTAAATGTGGGACTGTGTGTGGCTGTTTGTCACACTCTCGGGCACAGTTTGGGTTCAGACAGATATATGCAGCCCAATCCATGGGCCTACAAAGTAGACTGCAAAATAATGTGCCCAGTCAATCAGAGTCCTATTCCAGTCCAATAGTACTCTCTAGTGGTGATATGATGTAAATACTAACCTATCATGTAACTTAGATAAGTGATGTTATCGATATTTGAAATAATACCTACAATAAACATTTCTTCTCAGAAAGTGGTGAGAAGCATTTGGGCCCACATTAGCTGAACACAAGTTAATACTGGAAGTCTTTCACATGCTTGTGACCTGCAAGTCTATACTACATCCCTGTTGAAGCCATTGGAATGAGCATGTTGCCAGACAGAGAAAGACACCCATATATGTTTGGGGAAAATGAAAAGGAAATCATCTGTGCATTCAATTATAACCGATTCATATCAGACACAGACATCTTGGCCAGAGCCATATAAACACTTCCAGGTAATGGATGATCAAGAAGGAACAAAAACACTTGAAAGGGCTTTTCTTGTATGTATAAACTATTTTAAATGCAAAACCAGAGACATGTGGGCTGAAGAATGATGGAAAATTCTTTTATTTCATCACAAAACATAACATTTACTTTAACAAAATACAACACACATTTTGAATCACTCTGTGTCAACAAAGGCATCAACAAAGAACCCGACATTTTCAAAAGACACAGAGGGCCATTATATCAACCATGGAAGAGCACAATAAAAAACAACCCTGTGCAAGTTATTAACAATAGCAACATATATCTAGACTAGTTCATGATTGTCAGTGGAATCAAATACAAATGCACAATAATAAAACACAAATGAAGAATGTGATATCCCGTCCAGGATCACACACTATGTGAACTGGAAGGGTGTTTTTCTGCCCTTTTTCTTCCTTCTCTTAGATTTGAGCTTATTTGTGTTGTTCCTTCCATCTTTTTAGAGTTAGTGCTGCCAAGTTTAGTTCAGTACAAAAACCGTGCGTTACGTTTATGGGGCTTATAAGATTTTAGCAATCAATTTTAAATGAAATCAATTAAACATTATCAGTGATACAAAAGCAGAATGTACTGAATATATTCTGTTCACAACAACTGCATTAAAAACTATACATAAGGGTGTCATTCTGTGTAAAGACATTTTAAGTCTTTTGTAAAGTGTCACAAATAAGCACCATGGTATCCTACTAACTCTAAGAATACAGAAAACAGATGTGGATCAAGAATGTCACCGCAATCCAGAACAAACGGTTCTTTTCCTTCTTGCGTAGGATATAAATTTCACCAAGCTTGACAAAAACTGTAAAAGGTGGCATGGCTAACATTGAGTTTGTCCAGATATAAAATAGGAATGCCACTGTAACATCTAAACACAAGAGAGAAATGGAGCTGGAAGGAGTAGTTTAAACAAATGTTAATCAAACCCACTCAGGTTTGGAGAGCGCGAGCAGCAAGGCAAGCTTCAGCAAATACTCTGGAAGAACCATTTTCCAAATCATAAATCAGGCGGAAAACATCCAGAGATTTCAGATGTTTAGTTTAGATGTGCATGTACTCACAGGTAATACATATTGGCCATTATCACTCGTGCTTTGGCTTCTTTCTGTCTGCTGAGTGATGAGGTAGAAAAAGGACTGAGTGGCAGACCTGCTGACTTAGTTGAGATTGCATGTCGATAGTGTGCGCATCTGGACTGTTGCACTCTTGAGCAGGTATGTGAGAGGTAGAAGATCTCTGCACCTCACACAGGAAACTGCCCCGAGCTTGCTAATGTACTGGAGTGTATGTGTGAGAGAGAATGTGTGTTCGTGTCTCTGTGTGTTGGAGTCTATATAGGTGTGTGTGAAGAAGAATGTCCAGGGTGGCGTTATGCTTCTCCATAGACTGAGGCTTTGTCCTTTAACAAGTCCAGACACAAGTGACAACTCCAGCTTCCTATAGAGGGAGGGAGAGAGAGAGAGAGGCTGAAATCTTTATCCTCCTCACTCTTTTCCATATATAGCCCTAGTCTTAGCCTCTCTTACACATACACACACTTTCCTGTTGATTTGAATGGAAACGTTTGACTTGTAGTGCATATAGTATCAGTCCCCTGATGTATAATAAAACCTATGAGAGTGGCTCTCAGCTGTGGTACCTTCAGGAGGCTGAGTCATCGGAGGCTTCAGGCAGTACATGTGGTATCCTCTGTCACAGTCATCACAGAACAGCAGCTGGTCCTGCACAGGCAGTGCACAATCAACAACTTAGCAGCTATTAAAGACACTAGCTGTTCTCGTGGCACGTGGCAGCCCAGTACCTTAGACACCTTATGTTGGGTTTTTCTTAATTTGTCATCTAACTAGTTATAGCATTAAAATACCGATGTCTGTGGTGCCAAAGAGAATCTTACTAGCATCCCCTCTCCTACAGTATACATACATCATTCTCTGAGGTGCCGCAGAGGCTGCAAGACTTGCACTCGATGCACTGCCACTGGTACGTCCTTACCGCCTGCATCATGTTCTCAGTGAACTGCAGGCATGTGGGGTGACCTGTGAAGAGACAGTGAGTACAGACAATAAAAGTGAAGAAGGGAGGAAGGGAGATGATGCTAGATAGCCAGAAGAGGTTACAAAGCAATGTCAGACATATAGCCGAAGCTCAAAATTGGTACTGACAAACATCTAAGAATATTTACATAACCCTTACAAAGCCGATTTACATTATCCACGAGTGTATCTGATTTTCCCAGTATGTGCTTCAGGCTTTCAGCTACAGTGATGGTGCATTTCTATGTTACTAAGATTTGGTGAATTTTATTTTAAGTTGATGCTGTAGCTTGAAAATGGTCTTTTCCATATTTTTAAGCAAATAATTTTGCTGACATTATTGTAAACAGTGTTTTTTTTCCCTAACAGTATCTATCCTTTAATCATATAATAAGATGGTTGTGTCTTCATAAGAGACGTCAGGGACTGTAACTGCACCCACAGTGATGAGAGCCCATATAGCTGGATGATATTTAGCAACAAAGCAATCTATCAACCAAAACCAAGTGACTATGTGTCAGAAAAGCAAAATACAAGCAGTGATGTCTGTACAGGAAAAATGACAACAAACAAAGAATATTTGGTATATTTAAGTGTCTTCTTCCCTGTCTTATGAACATGGTTACTGTATCTCGATCAACCTGGTATCAATGGGGTATCAATGAGCCATGAATAAGCCATAATCAAAGATGAACTGATTTATATCTGGGATGGGTAAGTAGCCAGAAACACTGAACACATTCCCTATCAGCCTCTGAGGAGTGACTAAAGACAAACGTGACCTGAGATGAATTTACAGTACAGATGTGAAAATGTAAAAAGTTAAACTAAGGAATTACAGTCAAGAAGAAATTAGCCATGGCAGCTAGGCATTAGAATAAGTATGTCTTCTCAGCATGTACTGATAAAAGAAAGGACTGAGCTCTTAGAGACAGACAGGAGCAACGGAGTGCCGATTAGCTCTTACCTCTCGGCTACCTGTCCTCTTTAGCCAGTGGAGTGACTCGAGTCCGTGTTCATCCCTCCACCTGCCACATTAGTGGCCACTCATGTAATTTATTCCTTTTTCTTAAGTCCACTATGTCTGCTATTATCATCTTTAGTCCAGAATTAATGGGAAGTCAGGTTTAGTTTTTGATTATCATATACAAGCAGAGCCAGGAATGAAAAATGGAAAAATGCCTTGAGTAAAATCCATATGAGCAACTGTAAATAAAAATAAAAAAAAAAGAAAAGCAACTGTTTCCATCAGCGGCAACATTTCCAAGAAGAAGCTGGCTTCACATATAAATATGTCCCACATCTCTTCCAAGAGTTCAAAATAATCTGGTGAGTTTTCAGGTAAAAGTGTCTTGAAGGTGAGCCACTGCAGTCCAACTTGTGTCTTCAAGCTTTCATTGATTTTCACTTAAAACATTTAGAAAATTCATTCAGAACATTCAGAAAATGATTTTTTTTTTTTTTTGCCACTAAGTCAGGGCATCCCATTATCAGCCGTCAGTCACAGTATCATCATCATCTGAAAACAAAACGTCCTCCAGCTCTGCATCTTCAAAGCCATGAAACGTGGAGGCCTCGCTGTCTGACGTGCTGCTGAACATTTCTTCTAGAGCACTCATCTTCCTCCCATCCTTCTTCACTCCTCCTCTTCCAGCTACCATGAAAACATCAGCATCAGAGCAACACAGACAAGGCCACACACTCTCGCAGCTGTTCTAACAACCTCTACCGTAGCAAGAAAACATCTCACGCACTGAAATGAATACTTTGCGCTGTTATTGCATAGGACGCTTGAGCTGATTCAAGAAATGTTTTGCTGAGATACTGAACAGATGCGGTTTTGGCTAGTGTGGGGGGCAAAAGGGGGGAAAGAAACAAAATGCAGCCAAATGTGCCATAAGGTAATGCATGGAAACTGAGCAACAAAAGAGTGAAGGCGTGATGTCTAAAGGCAGAAGTCCTTACTCATGAGACTGACAGGGAGAAGCATGCAATACAGAAGCAAGCAGCAGAGCCCATGAATCAGTCTTATTTTTAAATGGGACAGTGGTTCTGAATTCTCATTGTTTACATGGCTCTTTGATAACCCATTGTATATACACTGTACCATATGAAAGCTCAATTATCTGGACAACACAGATGTCTAATACATCACCCATTGGAACAATGACTCAGAACAACTACTGTATGTGTATTTTAATTATTTTTTACCAACTACATCCAACTGAAGATTGTGAATTCCAAACGCTTGACTAGACTTTGAAATAACTATAGAGACAATGACGGGACTATGACGGGAATTATGTGAATATTAATCCAGATGAAATGTAAACTGCTTTGGATGTTTTGTTATCGGGGAAGCACTGTTTCAGTCCGTGTACCAAAGATAAACATCGCGAGGAAGCGAAGAATACACATGAAGAAGATTGTGGATAAAAAAGGAAGAAAAGAGAAACAAAAATGAAATGAGTAATAGACACAAATTAAAGTGTGGGTTTAGCATACAATTAATTTCTGAATATTCTCAATTATTTCTGACATTTTGGGAAATATTGTTTGGTTTTCTGCTGAAAGTGAAATAAAAAGACTTGGAGGGGGTCATCTAGTCTGGCTCTGTCCTAAGGTAGCTAAGCCTTACCTCACAAATTAACACATTATATCTTGTTTGTTTAAACTGAACAAAAACTTTACAGTGACAACTAAACTCTAGCAAGTCACTATGCGATTGAAGTTGCTCATATTCCTATAAATTCACTCATTTGGCTGGAAGGGGAACAAAGCCATTGCCTGTGGGCTAAACGCTGATGTCAACAAAGTATGTCATGTCTTAATGAAACCCTCCAAGTTGTGGAGGCTGGGGACTCACCGGAGCGTCCACAGTCAGAGCAGGACACCAGCTCCTCAGCCTGGCCTGTCTTCCTGTTGGAGTCCTGGTCTCCCAGGCAGAAGTCACAGTAGTCATTGGGGATGATGGCGCCATCTGGACCCTTCTGAGCTGTCGACAGGGACACACACACAATGAATACATGGCTAGCTGTCATTTTCTGACAATGCATCCCTTCCTGCAGAGATTGAACTGTGATTTGGAATACTGTATTCCTATGTGTGTCAGAAATAGCAGTAAGGCATTTTTGAGCTAGCAATCACTGAAAATTTCTCTAGCTTTATCTAACTTTATGCTAGCTAGCATCTTACGTTTGTGGTTGTCAGAGCTCTGCGGAGGTGATGGAGCCATCTCTGTTTCTTTTTCCTCCTCACCCTCCTCCTCTGCCAGATGAGTGTGGGTGTAGTGGTAGCTCAGGCCAGGGCGGTTCTTGTAGCGCTTTCCACAGACTTACAGAAAGAACATCACATGTCCATCAAAAATGTAAACTCTTGTGTGACAATATAGCAACTCTTATATAGACTCGGCTCAAAATCAGCTCACAGAAGAAAAGTATGTGAGTTCATCACCAGATTCTGTGAGAAATATCCAGATACTTCCGCTCACTCTCAGTGTTGTTGTTTGATGGGTTGCACTCTACAAAAGGTTTCCCTTTGTCTGTTTAATGCATTATTGTAGTGCAATAGCTCTAGTGTGACTAGTCCTCTATAAATTAACTTTTGTTGCCTTTGCCTCCATGTGTTTAAAAAGGGATACAAATTATAATTTTGCAAAACAAACAAACAAAAACCCAACACTGCAGTCTAAACACTTCTACAGTGGCTACATCAGCTACAGAGTGACCTAAAAACATGCATCTCTCAGTGAGGTATTAGCTGAGCCGCTACTAAAGCATCATTTGGTGCATGCCTTGCAATGAAAAAGCATTAAGACACATGGCATAGTGTTAGTGTCATGCAATGCTGGCACTGCAGGAAGAGATGCCTGGACTAGCATAAAGCACTTAAAAGCATTTGGTATCCCCAAAGGGTGAGCATTCAGTCAGCCATTCCCACACCAGATAACCATAGGCAAAAAGGCCAATTGCAGAGACAGTTTCATGGAGCCCCTAGAAAGACAAGATGGCAACAGGTTCAGATACCTTCTTCAGCCTTTTTTGAATTATGTTTTTGTTTGTATCTATCTGGAACAGGAAAAGGAAAGACAGAATATGATAAGTTTCATCTGTTTGAGACTCAGTCAGCGAAGCTCTTTATATACACATCCCCATGGCCGTCCAGCCCATTCCTGGAGGTTTCTGTCCAAGTACGTAAGTGGCATGCTAGTCAGGTCTGAATTAACAGCAAACTCTTTCTTCATGCTGTAGAGGACTGCTCTCAGAAGCAGAAGAGGGGGTGGCTATCATTGGAAGATGAGAGAAAAGGTTTTATCTGCTAGATTTCTTTGTTTTCTAAACATACAACCCAAGAATCTGGAGCAGACATGTAGAGAAAGCTTTCCTGACAATATGAGAATTTTCTAAATATTTGTAATAGCCAGATCTAAGCAGAAAATAGTTTTGCCACTTCCTTGAGCTTTAGGAGAGACTGAGTCTGAATTTTGCTCAGCTAACATAAAAAACAAAGTAATACCACAGATCACACGATGACACATGTGTAAAGAACCAAGCTTTCTTTTCTCTTACTGTCACAGACGTAAGGTTTGTCCTGGTCGTCCATGTTAACAGGTTCTGTCCTCCTTCGACTTGAGCCTCTGTTCTAAAAACAAAACAAAACAAAACAAAAACACACAACACAGGTAATGCTGTATTCAAACCTCCAGTTGGTCCAAACTCTGACTTTTGTCTCTGATGCTCACTTTGCCTCTGTTCCGGTGTTTTCTCTTTGGAGTATCCAGTTCAAAGTCTTCATCATCATGGAAACCATCCCCATTCTCCTCCGCCTCCAGTACTCTCTACAGTGCACAGCCACATGCAGACAGAGAGAGGGCTGGATGAAGGTAAAGATAGTTACGGCCCAGATATCTGTCATAACACTGAGGTATGGGTTCTAATATAACTGTTTTATTAGTTTGTAACAAATATGGTGGTAAAAAGAGGGTTCCATCAAATGAGTATCTCTAGGGAGTAGAAACAGGTCATGCTATGTCTAGAAATACACTTCTACATATGAAGATGTCAGGTTGGCATCTACCAAAACAGAACAAATAATCACATTTCAGTGATTTCAGTGACACACAACAAACATTTAACTAAATACCTGTATTTCCAGTAATGTCTCCTCTTCCTTACTCAGGCTGTTCTTTTTCTCCAGCAAGCTGTCCCCCCTCAGAAGGGCCTCCAAGGCTGTGGCCTCCCCTGGGGGCCCCTCACGTTTAGGGGCCAGCTCTGCTTCTATGGAGTAGGTCGAGGGAGGGGAGAATAAAGAAAACAGTGTTCGAGATGGCAGGTGTGTGTCTGGGGCAGTAAAAACATGCATGCTTTTTACGTTAAGGTTACCATTCACATTTATTGGCATTCATTTCAGAATCAGAAAGTGAATCAGCTTTACTGCCCAGGTGTGTTGAACACATCAGGACTTTGACTCAGCCACAGTGGCTCTCAATGTGTATGTACAATGTTCTTCTGTAAGGTAACGAGTAAACAAACAAGTAAACAAGATAAGACTGAGAGAACAAGAAACAAATGTTTCTGATGGGGGAGGGCTCTTCCTGAAGTCCACTGTCCTCTCCACTGTTTTCAGCATGTTCAGCTCTAAGTTACTGCGACCGCACCACAGGACCAGCTGTTCAACCTCCCGTCTGTAGGTTGACTCGTCACCGTCTCGGATGACACCGATGACCACTGTGTCATCTGCAAACTTCAGGATCTTCCCAGAGGGGTCATTGGTGTAGATGAAAACAACAGCGAGGTGTGCACACATCTCTGCGGGGCACCTGTGCTGACTGCCTGGGTACGGTTTTCCCCAGCCTCACCTGCTGCTTGCTGTCTGTCAGAAAGCTGGTGATCCACTGACAGGTGTGGGCAGGCACAGTGAGCTGGGTCAGTTTGGAGTGGAGGATGTCCGGGATGATGGTGTTGAACAAGCTGAAGTCCGCAAAGAGGACTTGTGCACAGGCCCCCAGGGAGTCGGCAAGTTGCAGGATGTAAGGCAGTGCAACGTTGACTGCATCATCCACTGACCATATATCAGTTTTAGATTAACAACAGGACAGTGTAGATGGAAGGTTACAGCAAATGTATCAGCATTTGTGTGGACATTTTCTTTACGTATGGGTAATAAAGGGAGTTTTTACATTTACAGGCCAGGCTGCCAGATTCGACATTAATACAAAACTGGTGCACCAGGTGTATAGTAAGAAAGGAAATAATGAAACAAACAATCAATCACAAAATAAGCTCCCTCTACTTGCCTCTTCCAGTCTACCTTCTTTTTCCCTCTGCCTTTTTTCATTTCCATAGAGAACTTATGGCAACATTGACTCCCTGTCCTCGTCTTTGAGTCTTAACACCAGGATGAAGACAGAAGAACAGCATGGATGTGACAAGAAAGGCCAGGATGGAGCAGGGCTAATGTGGCTATAACATACTCTTATTGAATACAAAGCTGAATACCTTTCCTGCATACCTTTCACTACTCCTCTAAATTCTTTGTCCGTTTGTGTAGGGCACTGAGGTTGTTCTCCTCTAACACCCCCCAAAAACCCTCTTATATGCCTCCTCTTTTCACCTTTGCTCTCTGCTGACTGACCTCATTGCTCTTTTGACTCTCTGGGGCAAACAGGGAGAGAATAAACAAGTTCAGTGTTCTGCTCTGCCAGCAAAAAGAAGAAAAGATCCTCGACTCCCACTCCATATGAACAAACATTTACATTTACTCTTAAACTCAATGCCAGTTAATACCATTGCATTCCTGAGACCAGTAATAGATTAGGGGGCATGAACTAAGTTAAACAGGACAAAGAAATTACAGTCGGACAGGTGAATGTTCTCTGAATTTCTTTTTGTACAATTAACATCAGAAACATGTAAACAGCTACCACTGTCATCTAGACCCGTGCCTTTGCTTTCAACTTTTTGAAACACTCAGCAATAAACTGAGCAAAAAGCAAAGAGCAAAATGGCTGCTGAGACAGCCCCTGCTTTGAGCAGTGGCAAGTTAAATCCTGGTTTTGAAATCTTTCAAAGAAACCTTGTGACATAGTCTCCTCACACACACGCAGACAAACCTCTTTGTTCAGGAAACATTAAATAAACATAAAGCATTTCCAAAAGCCTGAGAGGGGAGCACTCACATTCCTCTGTTGTGTTATGATAGATATCTGGGCCAAACTGCTGAACTGGATCTCAGAAAAACAAAACTGGAGTCTTCAACTCTTTCAGCTACGAAGGCTTTTCTGCCCCTGTCAACTACAGTATATTGGTAGTCGTCTCTCTCTTAATGCACTTTAGTTGCTGTTTGGTCTCAGCTCAGGGGAGTTTCTTCTCTTTTTTTTATTGAAAATGACTCTATCCTGTTTAAAATGGAATGGTTCTTGGTGGAAAGTTCTAGAGTATTATATTGCGTCTGGAAGACAGCGAGTGGGAAACAATGGTGTGGCAAAGCAGAAACAAAGACATGCCTTTATATCTCCCCCTTATCAGGTTCCTGGGGCATTCCTTTGCTAAAATCCCCTATAACACACACATATGAATGCATGTATGCACACACACACATACACACAAAAGCACACACTTCCACTCCCAAGACTCACTCACATTCTAATGCCTCATGGACAAATGATTATAGAGGCCCAGTCAGGGCGCTTCCGTGCTGCAAGTGAGCGAGAGTCATGTGTGGGGGTGTTTGTGCACTCATATATGTGTGTGTGTGTGTGTCTACAGCCAGAGAACAGTGAGAGGAGGCATTGATTCGGGGGATAGAATGAACCTGGAGACCTGGCGAGAGAGACGGCCTAACCAGAGCCAGATGGTCAGATAGCATTAACGCCACTCTGCACGCCCTAAAGCTCTGTGCAGCTACACAAGAGCAACGAGGGCACAGACATAATCTATATCTGCATTTAAATGAAGATAGATTGAATACAAAAATGAAAGGGCACATAACTTACTGTACAGGCAATGCTGCTGTGGCCACTGCTGTTCATGGCCTATGCATGTCAATGTGTTGCACGGCAGTTAGAGTATATGTGTACGTTGTTTCTCTTACCTAGTCGAAGCTCACACAAACGGAGCTGGGGATCCAGAGGAGGGTGGAGTCGCCTCTTCTTCCTCCAGCAACGAGCAGGGTAGGTATACATCTGTCCCACTGCCTGGCCTGGGCACACACACACACACACACACACACACACACACACACATGAATAAATGGTATTCTGTATATACACACATGCGGAAACACAGGAACACAGGAAGAAATTTAAAAACCAATAGAAACCCTCATATTTAACAAAACTTGTACTGAGATGATCTACACACACGCACATGCACACTGGACTGGTCATGTGTTCCTGACAGTTAATATGTCCTGATTTCAGTGCTCAGGCTAATGGACCACTTATTCAGAAAATCCAGCTCTTGTGGTCACATTCCAGAGACTTTGTTTTCGGCTACTTTACCAAACATATCAGTGTAGAAATCTTATTTAATACTGGGGTTGGTATATTCAGTTTTACTCTAATGAACAAATTAAACAGTATTGCCTTGTGAATATGTCAGCAATGCAGGCTTCTTGTAGTTTAATTGAATATTAAGATCTCTGTTTCTGTCTAATCATATTGCGCCATTAGCTTAGCAGAAGACTGAGATGGAGGGAAAGGCTGTTTCTCTTATGTCTGCTGGAGCAGAAAAAATCAAGAGAAGGAGGGGGCAGGGATAAACCCAGAATAAATGCATATAATGTGAGTTAGGTCTGCCACAAAATATAGGGTGTGGCCTGAAGGGCTTTGCATACAAGATGGAGAGCAGGCTATTTGTGTCTAGCTCTCAGCTCAGAGCAGATTGTTCCCTTTGGCTGTACAGGCGACCCCGATGTGCCCAACCTATTCTGACTGCCTGTCTCAGGATAAATCAGCACGTGGTAACTCAGAAAATATACAAAAGAAGGGTCGACCTCTTTTTCTGAGAGAGGATATCGTAATTTGTAATTATATCCATCAAAAGTATGCTATTTGTACCTTAAAGGGATATTTCAGCATTTTGGGAAATACACTTACAGGTATAACACACTACAAGTGAGACATAAGTGCTATTAAAGCACTATTCAATCTACACTGAAAGTGAGATGTGAGCAGCACATTGTGAGCATTTAAAGTCATGTTTCCAAAATCTGATTTAATGGATTTTTGGGGGCCTTTGCCGAGTTTCTCACCAGGTTGTCGGTGGCGCTTTTCCATCCAGATGTAGCAGTTGTTTTGTGCCACGCCAGTCTGTGAGTCCAAGAAGGGCATGCGGACACTGCGCTCAGCACATAGTCGGGCATTGTAGCTGCGACAGTGTTCGATGGCTTCTTTATAGAACTGGTCACCAAGCCTGAACACACACAGAGAAACAAGGATAAATTCAGTCAAAGAATGTGTTTGGAAAACAGAGTGATTTATTTGTTGTAATGCATCAGGGTCATTATAATTTACTTCTACAACAACTGTCCTATTCATTCAACATCTGAAGTAAACTGAAAAAGTATGTGCTGCAGGAACTGAAGTTACCAGCAAGTAACATTAGTCTCATTTTGGCCACGGATCCAAGTTATTTGCAGCTTCGATTTCTTCGTTGTTCTGTGTGCAACAGTCATTCCTTCTACTGAACTCCTATTAGCTAGATGCTTACTTTTTTGGATGTTCAATGGCAATAACGTGCTGGGTGGCTGATGATTTAGTCTGGTCTGCAAATCAAGAATGACAGTGAACCTTAACTTTAGCTTAACCTGACACACCCAGACTTCTGAACTCTACAGTCACAGTCTAGAGGCAAGCTAAGGTCATTAGAAACCAGCAGAACAAAACCAAGAGGAACACAGATGAAATATTCACATTGAGCAGGTTATTCTTTAATCACACAGCTGAAATACAGAGAGGAAGAACAGAGATTTGATCCTTAGCCAACAGGGGCTGTGGACTAAGATAGTCAACCCTCACTGAGTGCAGTTTTCTGTTTAGTTACGTTTGTTAAATAAGCTCAAACAACATCATCCTCATTTAAACCAACATAATTTGTGACGGGAAGGTTGAAAAAGTTCATTTTTATTTAGAATTTTTTAAGAGAGAGAGGGATAAAATGCGTCTTGCATCCCTTGCTTTTGGGATACACTCAAAGCAGCAGGATCTTGTCTGTCTCTGTTTACGCGTATCCATGTCTATCTGCCCTGCCATCCTGTCTCTCTGACGGGGTGAACAGAGATGGGCAGTCTGTGGATTTTCCTCACAGATATGTCAAGAATGCCAGACTTGACAAAGACCAACATTCTGGTCTCAGTGGCTCTCACAAAGATGCGTAGTGTTTGGAAGTGGATGGAGCACAGGGTGGGTGGAAAAGGGAAGAGAGGTAGGGGGAAGGGTGGTAGGCTGGAGCGAGTAGCACCAGAAAGTGAACCAGGGGAAATGGGGAGACTTCAGAGGAAAAGACAGGTATAAATACAGTGATTGATTTTCACAAGAGAAAACAAAAACATGAATAAAAAGAATGGACTGGGCATGGTCTCCATCTCACAGCTGTGTTAGAACATCTTCTTCACACTGCAACTTTGGCTGCTATAGCATCTAGACAAAGATGAAATATAGAAATTAAAGGATTTGTTGCTTTTGACATTCAACTAGTTGATGAGTGAGGACTGAGGATGAGCCATGTGGAGGGAGTTAAGGCAACATCTCAGCTAATATGAAAAAGGAAAACCTCTAGTGACTCTGCATGTGCCTTCAGTGCCAAACTGTATGTACAACATTTGGGCTTAAATACATGCAGCGGTTGCTGGCTGAGGTTTTTGTCAGGAGACCTACAGAAATGAGCAATGCAGCTGGTGTTTTTGGTCCCACATGTTTTTACAGTATGACAAAGCAGAAGTCACACTGATCTAGTCAAATCCAAATCTCCAGAAAAGACTTCCTGTCATATAACTTACATTCCCAGAGGTAAAGTGTTATCTCTGCTGTCACTGTTTGGTACCTGAATCATGTGTGCGTGTACCTATAGGTTTTGCTCCTCATTTGTCTCTTTCCTCTTTTCATCCCTGTGTCATCACATATTGCCTGTATGTTTCTGTTTCCAACCACACAGCGTCTGTGTAACATCCTCAGGCGACTTCATAAACTCTTACATAAGCAAGTGTTCGTGTCTGCTTGTGTGCCTGCTGTGCATTTGTCTGCGTGGTGAGCACATGTGTTCGGTTAAGTGAGTGTAAAGGGACACAGTGTGTGTACAATGCCTCCAAGACCATCTGTCTATGTGCGTCGTGTGTCCTAAGATGTCTCCCCGAGCTCCACCCGAGCCTGATTCAACCATCAGAGACTGTACCCATTAGTGGCCTGTATGGCTCATCCTAGTGATGGTGCTTATATAAGTTGAGTTTTTGCATGTCAGAAACACATTCCTCTTGGTCAACAGCTTCCTGGATGCTGATGGAATCTGCAGTTGCTTTGTGTGTGTGTGTGTGCATGAATGTGTATTAAGTGTACACCACTGCCTCAGTTGCACCCATACTAGCACAGAGAGCGGCTTTGTGTGCGATGGTCACGCTTATCATCGCCAAGAACAAAAGCAGCGAAGGGCCATTTCATCAGCTCATGCTAATCATTTACAGGTCAGAGTTTCCAGGTAAAAGCTCACAGAGATGGAGGAGCGGAGTGGAGAAAAGGAAAACAGCATCCTCTCGTCCTTTCAACACCCTCTTTTGTTCTCTGTTTGGACACCACAGGTATCCATAAATGATTTATCACAGGTAAGGGGTGACACTGTCAGACAGCTGAGGTGCTAATTTCATAGGCACTGGACTTCAGATTAGCCAGGATGGTCAAACACACACTCACAAAGAACCGGTTTAGTCCCAAAATAGATTATGGACATTATGAATATTCAAATGTTTGCCTAATCCATAGACAAGGGAAGTGAAAGCTCTGGCAATCATTTGATGCTTTTCTCCATCATATGACAGTATAAACACGTCACACTGAAGTCTAAAAAATAAAGCTTTTAAACCAAATGATTATTGAATGAATGGTTAAACAATCTGCAGTTTCATTTTTATTTGCAGCCCTGCTTTATTTGGAGCTTAAGGTTCAAGGGTACTTTAAGTGGTTTTTTTCTGGATGCAGTTTAAGTCAGAGAAACGACCATTTTGCCTCAAACCAGGAGGTGTTTTGTCAGCCTAGTCCTCCTCACCTCAGTTTACAGCAATCACACCATTATCAACCATTTTAATGACCTCTCTCCTATACTACTACTACTATATGGCTAATGGCTGAGGTTATAACATCCATATAAAAGTTGTATTTGTGGCATGTTGTGGGCTCAGCAGTGGGTAAAGCAGAAAAAGGGAGATGTAGAGGAGCAGGAGGAGGAGCCAAGGAGGCAGAAAGGGAGGGAAAAGGAGGGGTCCGATATGTCCCGAGGCACACGTGTTCCCTTTCAAATGCTGTCACACTCATTTTCTCTCAAACATACGGATGTGTGTACGCTGGAGCGCGCTCTCCCACATACACACAAGCTCGTCTGTGGGCAAACAGACGCACAAAGGAAATGAAAGGGAAAGGTGCAGAGTGCAGTTAGAGGAGGGGAAAGGGGAGAAAGAAGAAAGGGTGTTGCAGAGAGGAAACCCTGATTCAGATGCTGCAGCTGAGGGGTAGAGGAGCTGAAGGCGGGTGAGTTGAAGGAGTGGAAGCCGGAGATGTAGGCTGAACGATAACTCACTTCAACTCAGCATGGGGTCACTGGAGGAAATATAAGAGAATGCGTCTCCAAAGGACAAGACACTTTTCTATGTGAAGAGTAACATACACTCATACCTCAGCTCCTCACTCTCTTCTTAATCACACACGAACAATATAAGGACAGAAACATGCGCCAGTTCCATGTGTATAAATCAGAAAAGGGGCTGTTGCTTGGAGTGTGCCTGGCCACTTAATTCCCTGTGCCTGGAAACCATTCCCGAGCATTCCCACTCCCCGGACTCAGAAAGACAAAGCCCAAGTTTCTCCCCTGTGCTGATGTTGTAGTATAAATGTATGCAGTAAATACAGCCAGACAGACAATACCCCAACCTGCCACCACCTCTACCCCCCATCCAATCCCCACACCTCCATCACTCAGTCACGCTCGCTCTCATGTAAATTGGGGGATGGGTAAAACGTCTACACAACCACCTACACAAGCAACAAACACACGATAAAAACAACCCCAAACACTCCCCACCCCCACCCTACACCATCTCTTTTACATTTCCTGAAATCTCAGCTCACATCCCTTAAATATGCAAACTCTTTCCACCTGAGCTCTTTGTTTCAATGTAAATCCAAATGCTAAAAATGAAGGTAAAACATCTCTGCATGTGAATTGCATCTGTCATTTGAATTCTTCTCGTGTCAGCTTTCCATTAAGTCCCATATCCCACGTGGCCTCTGGGTTTCAGTCACAAAGAAGTCTTTGTAAAAATGTAAAAAATAAATGAAATAAACATGTATGGTTACATATGACTGAATGAGTCTAGAAAGCCAGACATGTTTACTGCCAGCAGCTGACAGTTGTAATTCATCTTTCAAAGCTGAGCACTAGCAGGAGAGAAGGGCTAGATTATTACCATGTCCTTATTGACTGCATATGATTTGCCAGCCACATCCTGAGGACAAAAGACAAGTCAGCCCTATTGTTTTTTAAACGACAGTGGACTCAAACAACTCTTATGCTGACTGGTATTAGCTCCTATATTCCTACACGATTGTTTCATATACAGGTTTAAACAGTATTTTATGGACTTAGGTGTGTGTGTCCATCTGGGATGTTCCTACTGTATATGAAGGGTAGATAAGGCTCCCTCCATCTCTCTCTCTCTCTATCTGTCTCAGCATCAGATGGGTGCAGGAGAATACTAGGGCACTCCTAATCTGCTGCTCTACAGGCACAGTTGCAAACACACAACAAAAAATACACTTGCATGTTCTACAGCCTAATCTGTTTCGGTAGAACACAACAGCGTAAAGCTTTTTTTTCAAGCTCTGGGTTTACAGCAAGATCTTTTTTTTTGGTTGTAAACAAAGAGCTCGACAAAACAAAAGCATTGTGAGTTCTCTCTGTACTTGAGGAACATTTTGCCTTTCTCTTTTTCTCTGAATCTGAATCTACAAAATATTATCTGACCATCAAGAATGCAAGCACATGTACAAGCTTACAAATGACAGTTTGAAAGTTTTCTTTACATGTGCAAAGCGTTACTGTGGGGTGACATTTGATTGAAAGAGAATGCATGGTGTATGACACACACTTTATCAAATCAAATTGATCCTGACATTCTTGTCTAACTTTGTGAAACCGACTCTTTGCAGATTCCTCATGACCAGTGGTAAACATCTGCTGTCAGCCATGTAAGAAGACAGATACGGTCTCAGCAACTGGGCTGAAAGTTACGAATAAACGTGCGCATATTCCATAACTTATCTGAAATGAGGCAAACTGTTGTATCTTATTCATATTGGTCAATTATTGCAGATTTTCTCAAAAGTACAATAATGTATACAGTGGATGTTTCTACAATTCAGAAACTGTATATGCGCTGATTATCCACATCAGACACTTGCACCAAAACTGAATGCCCCCTAAAACTGTATTATATCTCACTTTTCCCCCCACATGCATGAAAGGTTAATACTGTAAAGTATACCCATTGGAGTCACAACAAAAGAAACAAGTTGCGCATTGACCGCGAGTCTCCTTCTCAACATGCGCTTCGTGACATAGGCTACGTGCAAGAAACTATGCAAATGCATCCTTCAAGAGGTGATAAAGAGCTCTGTTGGCAAACTTTCTGTAAACCGTGTTTATAAAGCAGAATGCAGTCGACTGTAACTTTCTGTTCATGATAGAGAAGGTAGCCTAGACAGTTACGCGCGGTTTGGGGATGTTTTCTTTGCATATTGTACTTGAGTGCATGCCTTTATATTAGTATTACACAGCCAAGCAGATAGCACGCACGGAAACTGTCTGAGTACATGGTAAAAGTGTTCATTTTGTGATTCTTATTTAAACCTTTAATCCCATCCTGTGCGCATCCATGCAATCGATATATTTAATGATTTTAATAAATATTACTTACGATTTTAGTGGATTATGAATGACAGTCGCCATCTTCCCACAGAATTGTAACGTAATATTCCAAATCTCGGTGCAGTTTGGGACCCTAACGAAAAAAAAGAGAGAAAAACAGCAGCCAATGCGGTCCCGGGCACTGTGCTCGCTACCAATACAACACCAGCATCAAGACATTAGGCGTGGCTTCAGAGAAATCTGTCAAAATGAATGTCCCAGTCCTCAGATTATAATAATCTCATGAAACAAACCCGATTTATCTATTATCGGGTTGAAAGAAACGGAATATCACACCATGAGCCACATGTTTTTGTTTGGGTTGTGAGTTCTTGGCTGCTTAAACAATAATGCGCAATCAAAAAATATACATCTTTAATGAATAGAATATAAAACCACAACACCATGAAATTACACTCCAGTACAATAGGCGGCATGCACTTTTTTTTTTTACGTTGGTCTGTAGCCTGCCATTAAAACCTACGAAGAAGAAGAACATGCTAGGAAGTTATTGTACGGCAGTTAGCTCAGGAAGTGTTAAGTAGGACTGTAACAAAAGCTTATATCAGCTAAATCTGAAATTAAAATTGTTCAACTTTAATACAAGGTGTATTTATTGACCACAAACCCTCAACCAAATATTTACTCAGTTTGAATGTCCAGCATAAGTAAATATACAAGTCGAGAAAGATAACATTGGCCCAACAGCGTCAACGACAAGTTGCTAAATTAGGTAACTAAACGCGAGCTTCGCCAACTCGTACACACAGGAGTGAATGCAAGACTACATTGTGTGAGGATCCTTATTTCGGGCTTCAAACAGCAGAGATGAAAAAGTGGAACCGGCGAGAAGGGCAGCGACCACACAACCGACAAAGTGCTGGCTATCGCCAAGGACGGTACAGAGGCAACCGAGAAAGATCACCACAGGACGAACGGTGGTATGTTAAGCTTAGCAAATAAGTTACGCATATTTGAGGTGCGTGGTGTAAAAAATATGAGTGTGATACGTGCTATACTTCAAACTGTCCAGTACTATTGACACTGTTTGTCACGTCAGTAAGTGCCATTCATCCCTAGATTAATACTGGCCGTTTCTTGATGCCTTTTCACAGGTATGGACACAGTGAAGCAGGGCCATCATATAGAGCAACTCAGAGAAGACACAATAACCAGCCTAACATTTCCTCGTCTTCCTCATCTTGCTCTTCCTCATCTAAGGCCAGCAGTGCTGCCCCAGGTCAGAACTCTTTTTGGTGCAGAAGCAAATCAGAAGTTAGCACCTGAGCCATCAAATACAAGAAGTTATATAATGATATAAGAAGTTGGCAGAGTGAAATAAGAAAAAAAAAACAATATTCCAACTTTAAACTTGATAATTGAACCTCCTGTCCTTTTGCCAGATCTGCCTGGTTTCTACTTTGACCCAGAGAAAAACCGTTACTTCCGTCTGTTGCCTGGACACAACAACTGTAACCCACTGACCAGAGAGCAGTTGCAGGAAAAAGAAAGGGAGAAACAGAGAAGCAAGATGCTTGAGGAGGATGAAAATCCCAGAAAAGTGAGTCTGTGGAGGAAATAATTTCCACTTTTACTGCATGTTTTCTTTTGTATGTGGACCATATACTTTCTCTTACCACAAGTGTAACCTTCAAGAGGAGTAAATTGTAATTGTCATGGAAATGAGAGCTTACCATATGAGTCTTATAGACTGGAGCTGAGACATAGTTACTTGTTTACAGACACCAAGAGGACAGTGTGTGGGAATTCCAGCTTACTGTTTGTCAGTAACCTGTGTCCTGGTTTATTTCAGGAGAGGGAACAAACATTTTTTTCATTATAAAATGATTACAGATAAAATATGTCATTGTTTTTCAACATTAGCTGAAAGTAACCCACGTTCTAAAACATGCAAACTCACTGTGGACTTGCATGGGTATCATGGTTGTTTAATGATATCCTCTCCTTTATAGAAAGCACCGAGAACAGGACTGAACACTTCACTGCTCTTGCAAAAAAGACACCTTGGCCTGTTACCTGGGGACACGTATTGTAGGTACTCTATCACACTGCTGTGTGCACATGCAGACATGGACACCAAGCTGTTCAGCACCAACAGCTCTAATACATGACAGAAAACAACCTAGATTAACTTTAATAATTATCAGTTCTGTGTGTCTGGGTTTTGGAGTAGGCATAAAAAGTCACAATATTGTGCCCCCTGACAATTTGAAGTGTAGGAATGTATTTAATTGACTTACTTGGTATTCAGTGTTACCGTGGTTGTTGTGTCTCCAGGCTGATCCATGAGGTGAAGGTCAGTGGAATGAGATGCCACAAGCTGGAGATTCAGAGCACAGACAACAGCAGCCCCAACACAGACAACTTCAGACTCATAGTGGTGAGACCCACACATACAAAACACCCTAGGGCTATTGTATAATTTCATAATGTAGACGGACATTTTTCTACATATTTGTAAATAGAATAAAACATTTAGAAATTTGTCCTGGGCAACATTTTATTCCTGCCAGCTGTTTTTGATTACTGTTCCCATGTCTTCCTCGTCTTTCTCAGGGGGACTCGGCATGTGAGCGAGTGTTTACAGTCAATGATGTCTCTCATGGAGGCTGCAAGTATGGCATAATGAACTTCAGCAGCAACAGCCAGGGCTCTTTGTCTGTGGAGATGTGTGATAACCTTTACTTCACCAATCGCAAGGTGAGACAGTTTCACAAGAGCTGGAGCAGTGACTCTGAATATGTAGACATCTGTTGTACTTCTACTGTAACTACAGTTTGTTGATACATTGGTTTATAGTGTCTTTTAAAATATGAATTAAATATCTACATTAATCTCATAAACAAAGAGACTTAAATGGCCTCAGACCCATTGAATATGCTATAAAGTCCATTGTATATAGAGGAAAAGCAGTTCTGTCAGTTCCTAAAAACTTAAATGTTAGAATTAAGTGTTTTAATCCAACACGTCTGCTCTGGCTAAATGTGTTCCAGGTGAATTCCATCTGCTGGGCCTCAGTCAACTACCCAGACTCCCACGTGTTGTATCCTTCTTCAGCTTTACTCAAGCTCTTAGTCCACATTTCAAAACTTATGCTACTTTCATTTCAACAGAGGGCTCTGTGTTTTACATTACACATAGTAAGACAAGCTTAGATTAGAATGGAAATACAATGTCTCATCTGTGTCAAGCACATTTCTTGACATAGATTTGCTACTGTCTCACAGTAATATTTCACACTGTAGTACCTATTAGTTTTGATTCCCCCAACTGTCTCAGTATTTGGTGGACACAGCTTGTGTGTTCCTTAACTGAGCTGACTGAGGCTGTGTCTGGTAGGAATGGCTGACACCCCTGGTTGCGTCAGTTTACTTCCTGCTTCCCTCTTCAGTAACTCCAACCCAGGTTAGACTAAAAAGGATTTTCACAGGTTTATCACCTATTTTAGACATTCAAATTAGGCTCTCTAAGTTGTATTCTTAATGCATATTACAGTTACTTTGTTATAGGTCTTTGCTCCATGACCCCTTACGAGGTTGCAGAATCACTGCTAGGGGTGTGTGATGTATATCATCTGCAATAATATTTTAGTTGTTGCTTTAACGATATGCCAGCTGACATTAACAAGTATGCCATTCACTTTACAAAACATGCTTTGAGAGTCACACTCACTGCATCTGGTAGCCTAGTAGGATAAACTACTGCACATGCACATTCAGAGTGCACACATTGTGAGTAAATCATGAATACATGGCTATTGCACAAGTTAAGCTAGCGTAGCAGCCTAAAAATGCATTAGTGAAGTAAAAACAAATGATCAAACAGCACCAGGAGGCAAACTACAGGCACCAAAAGCCTCACAATCTAATGTAACATCATTAATTGAATTACTATAGATGTGGATCATCCTCACTCGCATGGAGGAATTTTGACTTTGACATGATGAATGTTGCTCAAGAAGCAAGTCTGCAGTCCTATTAACAAGACCGACCTAGTACAATATAAGACTTAAACTAATTTTTGAAGGATGCAAAATATTGGCTTATCGTTACCAACAAAACCAATCAAAACAAATATTCGGATATAATTTTTTTGTCAATATCACATATCCCTATTAGTGACAGTACCAGTTTTTTCAGCAGACTTCCCATGAACAGAAAGGGCACATTTCACATTGGCATTGTTTGGTTTACGCCATGTTATCATTTCTCCTCCCCCATCTCCACAGATCAGCCAAGGATGCTGTGTAGCTTTAAGATATCCACAGCCTGGTCTTGTGCTTGGTGTCTGAACCCACAGTTTGACAAGACTTTCAGTACTGGTCAGTTCCACTGTTACAATCAGTCACAGTCACTGGCATCTATTCAGACCAGGTACTAAAATAATGATGTGTTCTTGGATGTGCTGGTAGGCCTGTCTCGGAGGGTAATCATGAAAGATGCAGAGACGGGCCGAACACAGACGTACAGTGTCGGCAGCGATGTCTTGGCTCAGCAGTTTGCCCATAGGGTGAGTCAGTTTTCACAGCAAAATGTTTTGGTCTCGATTTCTCTTTAGAACAGCACCAAGCAAAAAGGAAGAGAACACCAAGGAAATAAAGGCCTCTTTTTTTTTTTTTTTTTTTTTTTTTTTACCCCAGTCCCCTGTGCTGTTCAACGGCTGCAGATCGGGGGAGATCTTCAGCATTGACCTGCGGCAGCGCAGCCACAGGGATCAAAGCTGGAAGGCCACACGCTTCCATCAAGAATCAGCCATCACCTCTGTCCGTGTCCTGCAGGATGAGAACTACTTGCTGGCTGCTGACATGATGGGCCAGGTCAGGCCATGTCTCAGATGTTTTGAACAGCAGGTCACACTTTGAGTCCTGTTGTAAATAGTGGGTTCTAAATTACTAGTATCTTATTCATATTTTGGTATTAAGGTGAGCTTAATGTCCCAGAGCCTCCACACAGAGGTACCCACTCCAGGGCCAACACGAGTGTTGACAACATCTAGCAATTTAGTGGTTATACTAATACACAGTGCTGCTTATTGTACATTTAAAACTATAAACAATCTGTAAACTTTAGTCACTGACAAAATGGATAAACCTATAATTAGGGGAAATTAAACAAGATTGTAATTGAGCTGTATGTATTCATACAGAGCTCTCGTTATTTGAAAGGAGCTGAACAACCTCCTACTCATTCTTGACATTTACCATTTACTTAAAAGCCTTTGGAACATGGATACTGTTGTTTTAACTTTTTTATGTTTTCTTCCATTTATGTGTAGATCAAGTTGTGGGATGTACGAGTGAGTAAGTCGGTGCAGGAGTATATTGGGCACTATAACGAGCACGCCTACCTTCCCATCCACATCAGTGAACCTGAAGGGCTTTTGATGTCAGGTTGTAGACAGTAAAACATGCTCTCTCAGTATTTGCACTATTGAGAGTTAGTTTACTTTACTTATACCTGTTTGACTGATTTGTGTTCTTTCCACAGTGGGTCAGGATTGTTACACAAGGTTATGGAGCCTAAAGGACGGTCACCTGCTGAGGACTATCCCGTCACCCCATCCGGCCGCAAACGACCTGATTCCAAGTGTTGTCTTCTCCTCCAATTTGGGTGGCTGCAGGGGGCTCCCCGGCCTACTCATGGCTGTCAAACATGACCTGTATTACTTCCCATACAACACTGACTACCGGGAAGGAGGTGAGCAGCAGACTGGAATTTATGAAAAGATGCCTTCTCTCACAAATGACTGAAAAACAGACACCTTTTTATGTCAAATCTAATGCTGTTATACACAAAGTCCATGTTGCATAATTGAAAGGTTACTTTTAACTCTAAGGGGAATGTTATTTTTGATTGACTTCTTTGTACTAAAAGGAAATAAACATGCTACATATATGTGTACATGATTACAAGAGTTTACTTTTTTTTTTTTTTTTTTAAAGGTGCACTTATCTAAGACATGATTGATGTTGATTTTAAATGTAATTCAGGATGTTTCTGGTCTGAATTTGAAAAGAACATTACCGTTTATACTGTAGATTGACAGCCGTTTCTGACCATTTGAAATATTTCTTTCTAAGGGACACACACTGAGTTTGTAAAGTTTAATACATACTGTATGAGCATACATTAACATAATGGTATTGATTTGTTTCCATGTGATGCCTGTATTCATTGTCCATCTGTGTCTGAGATGATAGTCCCTTGACTCAGGTCAAAGCCTGTTATTTCAGCTTCATGTTGACTTTATTATGAAACCCAACTCTCCTACAGTCAGACCTCAGAGTTCCCACATGTTCAAACAGAAAGCCTGACTGCATACTATTACACTTACCAGGTAACTGTCAGGTGCAGTCTTGCTGCAATAAAGGCTACCTAAAACGTCGCTTACTTGGTGCTGCAGCTCTACTCGTTTAAATTAGCTCCACAGCCTGAGGTGACAGAGTAAAGGATTACTCTTCTAACTGCCTCCTGTTCTGATGGCCTCAAAAAGTTTAACTCTTGTCTGGACCATATTGCTGCTGTGAACCAGCCACTCGGTAAAAGCAGTTTGTTGCATGTCATCCCACTGCCGTCAGATTTGTCTTAACAGGTAATAGCTATAACATTTTAAAAACAAAAAGAGGCCATTACAAATTTACCTATGAAACCTTTTTCCTATATTAGTATATCTATGTAAAACAAACCGTGGACAGGTTTTATTAAGGCTGTTCTATTATCATCTTCCCATTCAAATGCAAAAGGATGAGGGGGTTATGCACGTAGTTAAGCAAGTCTATAAGCTGGAATGCTGCTCGGTGCCACAGTACATCGTGGGCTTCTAATTGCTCTAATCCTTCTGAAGCCAAAGAGTTTCAGAAAAGCTAAAGCTAGGAGGGCTGAAGCAGAGGATCACTACAATAAACCGTTCCATTGTTTTATCTATAGCCAGTCCTGAATGTTACATTGAGGCCTCTAGCAGAAACAGTTCTAGAATAAAAGTCCTTACCTGGAATAAGTTTAAGATGCTTCTACTATTAAATGGTTTATAAGCCCAGACTACAAAAGGTGCTAAAAGTACTAGTGTGTCACAGTGGAAGGGATTATCAAAGGGTTTCATGTGCATCAGTACAAAGTTGAAAAAGCATGTAGACCTGAACTTAACTGCAAGCACAATGTACAATACTTATCATCTGTCTGAGATGTGTGATTTTTCTGTCACCTTGAGGTTCAAGTCTCACTATAACTGGCATTCTTCACAGTATAAAATATAGGCATATTAAAGTGAGATAGGGACTGAAAACAAACAGAATTCACCTCGCCACAGACAGTCAAGTGGCACCCAAGAGATGCCACTTAAAAAAAAAAAAGGTATCTGAAGCCTTTAACCAGTTATGTTGTCAGGTCCAGTTTTCTTAGAGGTCAGTGTCCTCCACCGTTTCTACTTTGGCTCCTCGCCCTGCTAAAGCTCCCCAGGTTTCTGGTTACAGCCATTGCACACCCGCACCGGGTGGTCCCAGCCACGGGAAGGTACAGCGCGCCGCTCCTGGGAGCAATCGTCACACACCCCCTGTCCACAGGCGCGACAGTGGTGGATGGAGAGACGTGGGGTGAACTCCCTCTGGCACTCGCAGCAGAAGTGGATGTCCTGATCTGGGACCCAGTAGGCTGGTCGAGCTGCGTCCTTCACAAGGCCTGGACGCACAACAATGGTCTAGTTAATGTAACGATTTAATCAATTATAAGGACTTAATCTAAATATGATATATTTAATGTACAATAAATACAATACAATATATTTATTGTATGGGGTCCTAAATCACAGTCATATTCATCATTCTCTAAACCAGTCTTAACTACTTTTTAAATGAAACCACTGAAGTTGTCTTTCTACATAGACTGGTTTCCCTGTTGAGGAAAGGTCGGACAGGCAGATCAAACGCTCACCAAGAGGTATGTCAATAGCACCAACTACAGCTCCTAAAGTGTTCTGAACAGCCTCCCCAACCTTCCTGGCTATCAGGGTGCCTCCCTCCTCCTCCAGGGCCGCATCCAGCAGCTCTACAACAGGGAGACGCATCAAATCATGAAGATACGTTCTGTTAAGACTCACTGGCAGAAAACAGGTAAAACTGACTAACCACATCATGTGTGTAAAAAAGATTTATGTAGAAGTGTCTCAGCACATAGTGGCTAAACGTGTTTAATTCAAACGAGGAAGACGTGCATACCAGGTGAGATGCCCCTGTTGTGGAAACATGCATCACAGACTCGGACAGGAGCGAGGCCCCAGCCCCTCTCTGGGACTGGTCGGGTTTTTGAGGAGCATGAATCACAGAAACCTTCTCCACAGGCGCGACAGTGGTGCTTGGTGTCATTGGGCTGGAACTCTTCCCCACATTTATGGCATTTCTACACCACACACAAGAAGGACAGTACATGTCTAGTGTAGCTGTTCGCTGTCATATTGTATATATACTTCCAGGAAGTAGAATATTTTTTAATTTAAAGCTACAGTATGTACAAATCTTCTTTACAATCAAACTTTTCTATTCATATATTGTATTACTGCCATCAGCTGTCAAATGTCAAATCACTGTAGTACAAAGGCTTCACCTGGGTGAACAAGACTCTAAGGTCTTTACAAATTTGAACTGTATGTAAATAATGATGGCATGGACTCCATATCACCTTATTTGCTCTCAAAGTGGAATCTGAGGTTAGAATGAGAAGTTGTCTGACTCAAGTACAAGGTTACAGACACTCCTGGCTTGTTTTCTTTTTCATGGCATTCAGAATAACACTAAGTGGCTGTGTTTATTCTAGTTGGAGACCAGCTGTAGTTATGTACCAGGATAAGCGAGTTGGGTTTCCAGTAGGCGGGAGCAATCTGGTCAGTAAGCCAGGAGGTGACTGCTTTGGCAGGCTTGACGCTGAGTTCAGACACTGACTGAGAGATGTATTTCACTCCATCCAGCAACCTCTGAGCAGCGTTGTTGTTGTCTTTCAAAAAGCCATGAGACTGAAAAGAAGGCAAGAAAAGAAAATCTAAATGAAGATACGTGTGTATACATTACTTGACAGATGCTCTGTATTTATGCTGTATATTTTAATATTTCTTTTTATAGTACACAATTACAGTACAGTTTTGAAGTCATGTTTATACATGTGTGATTCACCGTCATCACTGAATACTGATCATCATATGCTGACAGAAAATATTTTCTAAGTTTGCAAAACTCAGCACATTTGACTAAGAATGCTTATATCAACATGCTAACATGAAAAAACATTAAAAACTATATTTTACACTATTTCTTGAGGGTTTACAAAGAGCCAGCTGGCAACAATTAGCAAATGCAGCTCACAGTAGAGAGGACAACAATGATTAGGCTTAAAACCTTTGAGTTCTTGCTTGCAACTTTAATTGGTTTAAACAGAATCTTGTTTAGACTGTTCCACTGCGGTCTTACCCCAGGCCAGATGTGCTGGATCTCTGTTCTGACCACTGTTTCCACTGGGTCCTGGTTTCCATACCAGTACTGCCTGCTTCTGTAGATCACTCCACAGTTGGAGCACTCGATTACATAGCTGGACAAAGACAAAAAGATCTCAGATCCAGGGGATTAATTATGTTGCCTCTTGGTCTTAGTCTGTATTATGGAGATGCAATACACTTGTTAGAATACGTTCTGCTCCAATTCAACAGGTGGGTGGTTCACACTTAAAAAAGATTTCCCAGTTTTACCAATGAATAGAGGTTTATTAAACTATTTGTGCTAGCAAGGAAGCCATTTCTAATCGTCCTCTCAATGGTTCTGTGGCATCTCAGACTCACCCGGACCAAGCGTAGATGGCGAGGCCAAACCACGGTGAGTCAGAGGAGGCTGTTGTTTTGGGAACCACTATTACCTTTTTCCCTCCCTCGTAGCAGGCCTGAGAAGTTCAGCACAGGCACTCAGACCCTCATCAGGCACATATGTCAACATACTTGTGTGTAACACTGAAGGTTTGGACTTGCCTTGCAAGTGTAGATACGGTTGTCGTACTGGGCAGAGTAGCGGCAGCGATGTTTGGCTTCATGCTCGAGTCCTTCCTTTAGGTGATTCATGCTTCTTTTACAGCCTGAACTGAAAGCGGGTGCACACCAAGTGAGAGGCAAAGGCCACGATTGATTTGTTTGTACTTGTAACATTAAGTAAACTTGAACAGCTAATACAAATTAAAGTACAAATGAAATCAAGCTATGATATGTAATCATATAATAATTATTATATTGCTGTAATATTCAGATAAAAAGGTGAAGAGGCACGTACCCACAACTGAGGCAGATGCTAGAGCAGGTAAAGTACTCATCTGGAAAGAAGGAGTTACTGGTCATGTGCTCATCTGGAATATCCCCACTGAAACGCTCACTAAGGGCCTGAAGACCAAGGAGATGGAGGGATGGCAAGGATCAGTAATGTTTCCTTCAGCCATTCTTGGCTTTATAAGATTATCCGTACAAACATACAGTAAACACATTCATACTATAGACACAAAAAAGTGTTCTCTCTCTACATCACATTACAAAAAGTCCATTTGCATGACTTCATACAATCAGTGATCACTACCTGCAGAGCTTTGTATATGACACTTGCAGAACGTGGAGAACGGGTGGTATTGTTATCCAGCTGCTGCTCCAGGCTGCGCAGCAAACCGCTGAAGTCCGTAGGGGGGTTGTATGTCCGAGTTCCACGATACTGGATGGAGCTGAATGCTTCTGGAAATAGACCCAGCTTCCTAAAACGCTCCTGAAGCAGACGCTCAGCCGATTCGGATGGTTTATCTAAATACGGAAAACAAACACAGATAGGGACAAACTGAGAGTAAATGAGAGGATTACACAAGGACATTTGGGTGATCTAATGCCAGTTGTTCTTAGTGAGGTCCTACAAAGTAAAGTCTGAATAAATGAGGCTGACTCATTAGATGTACCTGATCCTAGCAGCTTGGTGTGAACAGTTTCATGGAAGATGATCACAGCAGGGCCCAGAGTGGACAGTGGGACGTCCAGGCCACAGCGGGTAGTAGTTGCTTTCAGCTCCCTGGTGAAATGTTTCATGTAGGCATCTGATGCATCACCAAGGAACTTAAAGAGATCATCATGGAGACGGTCAGCATGGGTTCGGTAGATGACAATGTCAGAGATAGCTAGGACCTTGAGGAGCAGCCGTGTTCGCTGGCCCTGGTTGGCCCCTGAGGAACAGTGGAAAAGAAAAAAAAAAAAAAAAAA